AAATCACTCACATAATTTAGAATTCTAGAATTCTATAATATAGAATCTAAAATTATGCTTCTTGTAACTGAAAGAAATTAAAGAATTGATCAGGTAGATCAGAGACACTGTCACCATATTTTGTTGATTCTTTCCTCAGACTGATCACCAACTCCTCACTCCTTCATTCTTACACCATTTCCGTAGGTTAGGTCTTTATCATCTATCACCTCAGTTACAGAGATTAAATCTGAATACTGTTGAATTTGTGTTAACAAGTTTTACATGATTATTTCTCAAATATCAATATTCTTACTTACTTCCTCTTCATTTATATTTACACAAAACTTCCACAATTATAACTAATTTTAAATTTTCCCTTTGTTCAAATAAGAATAGTAAAAAAGGACGGATTATTGAATATTCCAGAGTGGACAATGTTCATTGCAATACTATTGGCAGTGAGAAAATAGTTTCTTTTCTCAAATGCTTCCAATAACTACTGGCAAGTAAAATTTTTCTATCTGTATAATAAATTCCTAAGCTATGTATCAGTTTGCTTCCTTACCTGTCTCACAAAAGTGCCCTTATCTTTCAACTTACCACTCATAACTACTTGGAAATCTTTGTCCCTCACTGATATATGTTCTTTTTCTAAAGAGGCTTTATTATACTACAGCCTTTCTCTCTATAAACCGTAATCTTGTTCATTTAGGTAACTTTCATGACACTATATTCTCCAAGTTCTCAAGCTTTTGTTTCAACTTTTAAGTAATATGTACAGAATATATTCTTCTTGAAAAATTGATGAAGATTTTAGATGTAATTTCCATTCTCAATGACCTTCTCTCCCTGCATTTTATTTATTTATTTATTTATTTATTTATTATTTTTTTGAGATGGAGTCTTGCTCTGTTGACCAGGCTGGAGTGCAGTGGCACAATCTTGGCTCACTGTAACTCCACCTGAACTCTTCCTGAGTTCAAGCAATTCTCCTGCCTCAGCCTCCCGAGTAGCTGGGATTAAGGCACATGCCACCATACCTGGCTAATTTTTATATTTTTAGTAGAGATGGGGTTTCACCATGTTGGCCAGGCTAGTCTTGAACTCCTGACCTCAAGTGAGCCACGCACCGCCGCCTCCCATTGTGCTGGGATTGCAGGCATGAGCCACTGTGCCCAGCCCCTTCTGGCATTTTAAAAACAATACTTCTATATGTCTAGCCACAGAAAGTATAACATAATCAAGTTTCTTGTACATAAACCATACATATTGTTTTGCAGCTTACATTTTTCACTCATTGTTTTTGAGAGCAATTTATGTTGACAAATACAGGCCTAATTATTTTTATTTTTTGAGACCAAGTCTCGCCCTGTCACTGAGGTTGGTGTGCAGTGGTGCGATCTTGGCTCACCACAACCTTAGCCTCCTAGGTTTAAGTGATTCTCATGCCTCAGCCTCTCACCTCCCAAAGTGCTGTGATTACAGGCACTGGCCTAGTTCTTTTTTTTAAACTGTTATGCAGAAGTGGACAAATTACTTAACTATTGATCTCAGTTTTCCACCACTGTTTTGCTGATCTGTTCCTTGAGGCTTCACTAAAATGTGTAAGTGTAAGTATCCCTTTCAAAGCTAAGTCTTCAATTTTTTGCTATGTTTTTTCAAAAAGCCTGTCTTCTGTTTCTCAAGGTTTTATTACCTCTTTATTTTAACAATCCCTAAATCCCAATTGCCATGGCCAAACTTAACCAAACTAAACCTCAGTTCAAAGTACTCAAAAATACCTGTTCTAGGCTACTTCTCCATCACTGGAAATGCATGATGCCTCCACTCACACACTGTCTAAACTTCAATAAGCCGAAAAAAATTTTTAAGGAGAATGGCTTGGAGAATAGTAAACATAGAGACAAGGAAGCATTTAAGTATGTGATTACTCTAACAGATCAAGACAGAATGACATGGGCCTGAAGAAAGACAACAACAATATGGACGGAGAGGGGAAACAGATTTGAAAGACATTTCAAACAAAGAACTCATGGGCTTGGTGACCAATGAGGGGAAAGGGTCAATATGACTCCAGGATATTTGGTTTGAGTAACTGGATATTTCTGATTTAGTGTAATTCAGTAAAGCAGGGAATATCAGAGGGCATGATCACAAGTCTGGCCTTGAGCCAGAGAAGCCTGCCTGACATCAAGGTGAGGATCCATGAGCTGGGTGGATATGAAGAAGAGACCTGATTACAGATGGTAAGTGATAAATGAAAGCATAAGTGGAAGAAATTAACCTAAATTGGCAGAGAGTGGAAGCAGACCTAAGATAGGAAGAAAGAAATAAAAAACATCAAACATAAATCCTTTACTTGCCTTCTTCTCAACCTAGGTCTCCTTCCAAGCCTCTCCATTTTTATCAATGAGCCTCTCTTTGCTTAAATTTTTCCCACTCCTTTGGCTCTTACATTCAGTCACTGCATAGAGCAGTGGGTAAAACCATGGACTCTGGAGCCATATTTCCTAGGATCGAAACCCTGCTCAACTATCTTCTGTGTAACCCTGAACCACTCTGCTTCAATTTTCCCATCTACCAATAGTAATTTACTTCATAGGGCTGTTATGGAAAATAAATGATTTAATTTTTTTTTTTTTTTTTTTTTTTTGAGACGGAGTTTCGCTCTTGTTACCCAGGCTGGAGTGCAATGGCGCGATCTCGGCTCACCGCAACCTCCGCCTCCTGGGTTCAGGCAATTCTCCTGCCTCAGCCTCCTCAGTAGCTGGGATTACAGGCACGCACCACCATGCCCAGCTGAATTTTTGTATTTGTAGTAGAGACGGGGTTTCACCATGTTGACCAGGATGGTCTCGATCTCTTGACCTCGTGATCCACCCGCCTCGGCCTCCCAAAGTGCTGGGATTACAGGCTTGAGCCACCGCGCCCGGCCATGATTTAATTTTTTAAAGAGCTTAGAACAGTGTCTGTTACATACCTTATAAGTATGTGTTAGGTAAACAAATAAAGACTGTCAGTTTTCTTTGTGAAATCCTTTATATGTGTCCTATTCTTATTCCCATTTCACACTAAATCAGCTGAGGTGCCTAATATTTCACAGAGCTATCACCTCATCACTGTACTAAATTGCTTTTTAAAAGGTCACTAATGACCTCTTCATGAAGAAATGAAATACTCTCCCATCCCCCAAGTCTCCAGATACTCTGCATGAATTGATCAAGTGGTCTCTCCTCAAAATTCTCTTCTCTTGATTGCTGGGACTTCTTGGCTGCTGGAACCCTGCACTCTTAAGCTTTATTGCCTACCTCTATTTCCACTACTCCACTGACTACTACTGGCTCCAGTTCCTCTTTCTGCTTCATAAATGCACACCCCAAATTTCCTTATGTTTCAAAATTCTCTTCCTGATGTCAGCTATTCCCATGGTTTTCACTTATATGCTGATAATTCAAACTTTTACCTCTATACAATGTTTAGGCTGGCTACAGATTTGCATTTCCCACTCTATGCTGGACAGCTCTATGTGTCTATCTCATTAGATCTTTAATTCAGCATGTCCAAAAACGAATTCATAATCTACACTAAGCTTATGGCTTTATTTCTCATAATGGGATCATCATCCTTCAACTCAGAGGTCTAAAACCTAAGAATTAGATTTGGTCCCTCTCACTTCTTCAGCATTCAGTTAATTATGGAATCTTGACATAATCATCTCCAGTATACTTGTCTCCTTTCCAATAACACCATTATAACTGTATTTCAGGAATTCTTTGCTCTCACTAGGCTGATCCCTTTACCCCTTCAAAAGTATCTCCAATAAGAGTTCCTAGCTTTTAGCTAAAGAGTCCAAATGCAGTTAATAGAAATTCCTTCTCTATGGGCTTCTATAGAACAAAATGATTTTCTGCAGTGCAAATCTGACCATATCAATCTTCTGCTCTGAACTCTTCAAAAAGCTACCCATCTCCTTTAGGATTACATCGTTCACCATCTGGACCTCAGTTGACTTTCCCAGTCTCCTATCCATTCTGTGCATAGAAGTTCCCCCATTTCCTCCTCTTCCCACACAAGTTATGCTCAGTCATTTCTCCACAGCATTGCAACTGTTCTCCCTGAAAAGCTCTTCAACACCTTACCCTCTCCAAGTATAAATCAGACATCGCTTTCTAAAGCCTTCTCAGCAACTGCCCCTTGAGCAATTAACACACAAGTCTGGTACATATACATATATATATATACACACATAGGAGTACTTATTTGTTAAGATCTGGCTCCCAAACTTAATCCTGAAAACTGGAACAGTATCTTGCGACTCTCCAGTGTCTGGCATAGTGCCAGTAATATAAAAGGTGCTGCAGCCAGTGGCCAAATAGGGGAAAACCCCAGCAAAAGGGTAACCTAGCACTCAGAGAGATTCTCAAGGACTGGCACTGAATGCCTTGTCTTGGGCTAGCTCCCGTGGCTCGTTTTCTTAGGGCCTCACCTCTGGCACTTATAAGATGCCAGTGTCAGGACCCCAAGCCAACTGTTGGGCCCTCAGCTGGGGTCCTAGGAGACGGTCCCAGGGACATCCTCGGGCTCCCCACTCCAGTCGCAGGGAAGGGAAAGGGGCGGGGCGCAGCGTGGGCCGGGCCAACGGCTCCACAAGTCCCCAGGAGCCTAGGCCATCCTCTCGGCTCCCATTCCAGTGCAGGTCCCGGCCGATCCAGGGCCCCAGGGGGTTCCATTTTGAGAGACCCCGCACCCCAGCCCGGCGCTCCGGCCGCCTCCGCACTTACAGACCCGGGGGAAGGCCGCCGTCAGGATCCGGCAACGCCAGGAGCTCCGGCCCCTCGGGGCTCCGGGAAGGGGGAGGGGCAGGGAACCCGAGCCAAAGGGGGACCCAACGGAACCGGAAGGGCAGCCCTGGCCGGACAAAGACAACTTCCAGGTCCCATGGTCCTCTCCGCCAATCGGAAGGCTCGGAGGACAACGGGGCCCCAGAGGGGGAATTTCCGCGTTGTGGGCGGGGCGCAGGCGGGGTTGGGGGGCGCCGTACTCTCCTCATTGCCTTATCTGTCTGCTACTCTGAGGATCCCTGGCTCCTTAGCGTCTGTGCGCCTCGCAGGGACCAGCTGCCCGGGACCTAGTCTCAGCCGCTCTTCTGCAGCTGGGCCTGGACGCTTTGCTGCCTCCTTGGGCCTGAAGGGCTTCTGTGCACTTAAACTTTGGTAAGTCTTTCCTGCCTAGGGGTGTGGACTCATCGCGCGGGAGCTTGGAGAGCAGAAAGCTCTCCTCTCACTTTTGGATGTGTTTTTCAGGGATCTTACCTTAAGGTTCTTCCTTATTCCTAGGGCAATCTCTTGCATTCCCATGGCTTCCGTCACCTACTTCGTGCTGACCATTCACAACCCAGCCAGCTACATGAAAGAGCTCTTCAAATGATTGTCCTAATGTGAATGTTCCTCTTAATGATCTCAAGTTCATCTCATCTAGAAGATGAGATGACCAGACCAGAAAACTTGAGGATCCTTCTAGAGTTCTTTTACTTGCCAATCCACTTTACTGGTTTCTCCCCATTCTTTTCGTTTTTGGTGGTGGTGAGGGGCTTTTTATTGTGGGAAACATGCGTAACGTTTATTACTTTAATAATTTATAAGTGTGAAGTTCGATGGCTTTAAGTACATTGACAATGTTGTGTAACCATCACCACTAACTATCCCCCAACTTCATTTTTTTAGCCTGTGGATATCCAGTTTCCCCAGCCCCACTTATTGAAAGGATTGGCACCTGTGTTGAAAATCAATTTAACGTTTATATGAGCGTTTATTTCAGGGCTTTCTATTCTAGTTCATTGGTTTGTATGTCTGTCCTTATGTAATACTTCTCTGTCTTAATTGCTTTAGCTTTGTAATATGTTTTGAAGTCTGGAAGTGTAAGTCCTCCAACTTTAATCTTCGTTTTCAAGGTTGTTTCGGTCTTTCCGGGCCTTTTGGAATTCCATGTGAATTCGACAATTGGCTTTCCCATTTCTTTGAAAAAAAGCTTTTGGAATAGGGATTGTTGAATCTGTAGGTCTCTTTGGGTAGTACTGTATCGACGTACTACCAATTTTAAGTGTTCCTGTCCATGAACGTAGAATGTTTTTCCATTTATTTGCACCTTTGATAATTTCGTTCAGCAGTGTTTTCTGGTTTTCGACATATTTAATACATTTAGATGTTATTTTGAATGGAATTGCTTTCGTAATTTTCTCTTCATATTGTTCATTGCAGGTGTATAGAAACAACTGATTTTTGAATGTTGGTCTTGTACCCAACAACTTTGATGAATTTCTTTATTAGCTGTAGTAGCTCTTTTGTGGATTTGGGGGGATTTTTTAATAAGTAAGATAGTGTTGTCTGAATAGAGACCTTATACCTCTTTCTTTCCAATTTGGATACTTTTTATTTTTCTTGTCTAATAGCTCTGGCTAAAACGTCCAGTACAGTGAACAGCAGCAGTCAAAGTGGGAATCCTTGTCTTATTCCTGATGTTAGGGGTAAAGTTTTAAGATATTCAATGATCTTAAATCATTGAATACGATGTTAGCTGTGGGTTTTTCATAAATGCCTTTATTATGTTGAGGAATTTTATCTCCTTTCTTAAAGGGTTTTGGGTCCTGTGAAGTGCCTTTTCTACATTAGTTAAGATAATCATGTGTTTTTCCCTTTGTCCTATTGATGTGCTGTAATACATTGATTTCATGTTGAACCCTTGCATTCTTGGGAAGAATCCCACTAGTTCATGGTGAATAATTATTTTAATATCCTGTTGGATCGAATTTGTTTATAATTTGTCAAGAATGTTTGCATCTATATTCATAAGGGATATTGGTCTATAATATTTTTTACTTGTGATGCATTTATATGGTGTTGCTATCAGGGTAATGCTGGCCTCATAAAAGGTGTAAGAAAGCTTTCCCTCTTCAATTTTACAAAAGTTTGAGAAGGACTGTTGTTAATTCTTCCTTAAAAGTATAATAGAATTCACTGATAAAGCAATCTGCTGCAGGACTATCGACCTCCTGGGCACAAACAACCCACTTCAGCCTCCCAAGTAGCTGGGACTACGTGTGCCTGCCACCGTACTCGGCTAATTTTTATACTTTTTATAGAGACAGGTTTTCAGCATTTGCCCAGGCTGATCTTGAACTCCGGAGTTCAAGTGATCTGCCCTCCCAGGCCTCCCAAAATGCTGGGAATACATGTGTGAGTCACTGCTCCCAGCCTTTCCCTCTTTTTAATGTAGTTATTTACAACTCTACATTTCCCTCTGATCACTGGTTTCACTACAGCTAATAAGTTTTTTGTATGTTGTATTATTTTCATTCATTTCTAAGTATTTTCTAATTTCCCTTTTAATTTCTTCTTTGACCCAGTGGTTAAGAGTGTTGTTTAACTTCCAGATATTTGTGACTTTTCCAGTGTTCCTTCTGTTATTAATTTCTAACTTCATCTATGTGGTCCGAGAAGATACTTTGTATGATATCTATCTTGTAAAATATTATGAAGCTTGAATGGTGGCCTAACATACAGTCTGGTAAATGCCTCATGTGCTTTAGAGAAGAATGTGTATTCTGCTCTTTCTGGGTGGAATGTTCTGTATATGTCTTTTAAGTATAGTTAGTTTATTATGATGTTCAGGTCCTCTATTTCCTCATTTATCTTCTATCTGATTCTTCTTCCCATTATTGAAAATGGGGTATTGTAGTCTCCCACTACTATTGTAGAACTGTTTATTTCTCCTTTTAATTCTGTCCAATTTTGCTTCACATATTTTGAGAGTCTATTACTAGGTATGTAAATGCCTGTAATTTTTTTGTTGTTGTTGTTTTTTTGTTTTTTTTTGAGACGGAGTTTCGCTCTTGTTACCCAGGCTGGAGTGCAATGGCGCGATCTCGGCTCACCGCAACCTCCGCCTCCTGGGTTCAGGCAATTCTCCTGCCTCAGCCTCCTGAGTAGCTGGGATTACAGGCACACGCCACCATGCCCAGCTAATTTTTTGTAGTTTTAGTTGAGACGGGGTTTCACCGTGTTGACCAGGATGGTCTCGATCTCTTGACCTCGTGATCCACCCGCCTCGGCCTCCCACAGTGCTGGGATTACAGGCTTGAGCCACCGCGCCCGGCCTAAATGCCTGTAATTTTAATATAATCTTTTTGTAATGAGCCTTTTATTCATATATAATGTCTTTCTTTGTCTCTTGTAACCTTTTTTAATTTTAAAATCTATTTTGTCTAATCGTAGTATGACCACATCAGCTCTTTTTCAGTAACATTGCATGTTATATCTTTTTTCCTTAAATTATTATTATTAATATTTTCTGAGACAGAGTCTTGCTCTGTTGCCCAGGCTGAAGTACAGTGGTGGTATCTTGGCTCACTGCAACCTCCACCTCCTGGGTTCAAGCGATTCTCCCGCCTCAGCCTCCTGAGTAACTGGGATTACAGGTGCATGCCACCATGCCCAGATAATTTTTGTATTTTTAGTAGAGATGGAGTTTCACCATGTTGGTCAGGCTCGTCTCAAACTGCTGACCTCGTTATCCAACCGCCTCAGCCTCCCAAAGTGCTGGGATTACAGGGATAAGCTACTGTGCCCAGCCCTTTCTCCTTAAATTATTGAATTTTTTTTTTTTTTTTTGTAGAGACCGGGTCTTGCTGTGTACCTCAGGCTGTTCTTGAACTCCTGGCCTCAAGCTATTGTTGGTCTCCCAAAGTGCTGGGACTGTAGGTGTGAGCCACTGCACCTGGCCCTTTTTCTAATCTTTTATATTCAAGCTATTTATGTTTTTGGATGTCAAGTGATTCTCTTGTAGACAGCATTTAGTTAAATCATGTGGATTGCGTGTGTTTTTAAAATTATTTTGCCCATTCTTTTTTAAATTAAATATATTTTTAGAGACTGGCTCTCACTCTGTTGCCCAGGCTGGATTATAGTGGCATGATCATAGCTCACTGAAGCCTCAAACTGCTGAGCTCAAGTGGTTCTCTCTCCTCAGCCTCCCAAGTAGCTGGGACTACAGGTGTGCAGCACCACACTTGACTCCTTTCTTTTCTCTTTTTTTTTTTTGAGACAGAGTCTCATTCTGTCACCCAGGCTAGAGTACAGTGGTGCAGTCTTGGCCCACTGCAGTCTCTGCCTCATGAGTTCAAGTGATTCTCTTGCCTTAGCCTCCTGAGTAGCTGGGACCACAGGCATGCAGTACCATCCAGAGATCTGCTTGCCTTGGCCTCCCGAAGTGCTGCGATTACAGGCATGAGTCGCTGCACCCGCACTTGACACCTTTCTGTCTTCAGATTGGAGAGTTTAAACCATTTAGATATAAAGTAATTATTGATAAAGAGGTATTTATATCTGTCACTTTTCTATTTGTGTTTTATATGCTTTTTCAAAATTCTCATTTCCTTCATTACTGCTTTTCTGTGTTAGTGTTTAGTTTATTTTTTAATCATGAAACATTTGATTCCCCTCTCCTTTTCTTTTGTATATATTCTATAGATATTTTCTTGGTGGTTACCATGGGTATTACACTCAACATCCAAAAGTTATAACAATCTAATTTGAATTGATACCAATTAACTTCAGTAGCATACAAAAACTCTGTTCATGTAAAGCTCTGCCTTTTCCTTTCTGCTACTGATGTCACAGACAACATTTTATATATTGTATATTCAACAACATAAATTTTTTTATGCGTTTGACTTTTAAACCAGAAAATAAAAAGTGGAGTTACAAATCATAATTATAATACTTGCTTTTTTTTTTTTTAAGACGGGGTTTCACCATGTTGGTCAGGCTGGTCTTGAACTCCCGACCTCAGATGATCCGCCCGCCTTGGCCTCCAAAGTGCTTGGATTGCAGGCGTGAGCCACCATGCCCGGCCAATATTTGCTTTTATAGTTGCCAGTATATTTGACTTACTAGAGATCTTGGTTTCTTTATATGGCTTTTGAGTGTACTTGTATTTCGACCTGTCGGTTTCCCTTTAACATTTCTTGAAGGGCAGGAATGCCGGTGGTAACAAACTCCCTTGGTGTCTTTATTAGGGAATGTCTTAACTTCACCCTCATTTTTGAAGGACAATTTTGCCAAATATAGAATTTTCTATGACAGTTTTTTTTCTCCAGCCTCTGAGGTTTCAGGTGGTAATCTTATTGGCTGATAATTTTATTACAATTCTTTGTATGGGACAAGTTGCTCATCTCTGGCTGCTTTCAGGATTCAATTTTATTTGCCTTTTGACAGCTTAATTATAATATATTTGGTGGTTTCTTAGTATTTCCTATCAGGATTCTGATGAGCTTCTTGGATTTGTACATCATCTTGTTCATGAAGTTTGGAGAGTTTGGACCCTTATTTCTTGAAATATTACTTCTGCCCTTTCTTCTTCTTTGGAATTCCCACAATTCATTACGCTTGTCCTCCTGATGGTATCCCACAGGGTCCCTTAGATTTTATTTACTGTTCACTTTTCTTCATTCTTTTTTCTTTCTATTCTTCAGATGGAGTAGGAGTCACAAAGAATCCGCCTCTCAACCTAGACAACAATTGTACCAGCAGCAACTCTCTGAAGTAACTATGTTGGAACTCTGGAGTCTGTTCGAATGCTTACATCTTCCAAGGGAGAGCTTTGCTGGTAAATAGAGGTTAATTTCAGTCTATGTCAGCTTTTAGTGTGATAGCACCTACTCATTCAGTGTTACTTAACCCTGTAGCAGGCAGCCGTGTCCACATTTCTGGTGTGGCTTGCTGGAGGCTGGGTGGGCAATAAAAACTTTGTCCTCCAAATTCTGGCTATCTACACTCTGGTTGCTGGTGACTGAGGTGCAGGTGCAAAGGGTGGTTGCCACTGTCTTGACCGCCCCCCTCCCACCAGCTGAACCTGCTTCCAAGGGTTTTAAAGGAATAGCCACCTGTGTTGGTTTGCTTCCCTCTTACCCAATTTATGAGTCAGATATTGAAGGATTAGGATACTCAAAAACAATCACTTAGGCAAGGGAAAGTAGAAGCTACTGCATATAACCAGGGAAAGAAACAGGCTAAGAAAAGACCTGAGAAAACCTTAAGCTTTCACCTTAAACTGATCCTGATCCCCAGCACAGTGACAGTTATAAAAGCCTAGGAAAGATGGAGGCAGAAGGAGAATCTTATTTTCAGAGTCACCACATTGTAAGATTCAAATGTTCAATTTTCAACAACAAAAAAATCATAAGGATTTAAAGTGAAGCCAGATGTGGTGGCATGTGCTTGTAGTTCCATTTACCTGGTTGTTACTGACCAACACAGTGAGACCCCACCTCTAGTTGAAAAACAAAATTTAAAAAAAAATCACCGGACATACAAAGAAACAGGAAAGTATGGTCTATTCAGAAGAACAAAATAAATCAACTCAAACTATTCCCAAAGAAGCCAAGATAGATACCTGACTTAATAGACAAAGGCTTTAAAACAACAATTTTGAAGTTGCTCAGAGAACTAAAGGGGCAGGGCACGGTGGCTCATGTCTATAATCCCAGCACTTTGGGAGGCAGAGGTGGGTGGGTCACCTGAGGTCAGGAGTTTGAGACCAGCCTGGCCAACATGGTGAAACCCCATCTGTACTAAAATACAGAAATTAGCTGGGCATTGTGGCATGTGCCTGTAATCCCAGCTACTCAAGAGGCTGAGGCAAAAGAATTGCTTGAATCTGGGAGGTGGGTGTTGTAGTGAGCTGAGTTTGTGCCACTGCACTCCAGCAAGACCAAATCTCCAAAAAAAAAGAAGACATGAATGAAGAGTCGGGAAAACAATGTATGAATAAAAGAAATTATAAAAAGGAGCTGAAATGAAATTCTGGAGTTGAAAGGTACAGTAACTGGAATGAGGTATTTACACAGAGGGGTTCAAAATCAGATTTGAATGAGCTGAAGAAAGAATCAGCAAATTTGAATATATTTCTTCATAAAATACCCGTGGAACCCTGTTCCCCTTTTTTTCCCCCTGCTTCCTTAGTTTAAGCTCTTAGGCAGCCTCCAAAGTATTCAGCCTCCTCTTTTCCCTGCTTTAGTTTTACTAGAGTGATCTTTTTAAAAAACCCAAATCTGGTATTGTCACTGTCCTTTAAAATATCCAAGGGCACCCGTGTGTCTATAGCGTGAACTTCAGTTTCCTTATTTTATCATTCAAGGACCTTCCCATTCTGGCTCCAGCCTACTACATTGCTTTATTTCACACCAGCCCCATATTCCATTCATATACTGTAACCACATTTTCTTGGATACAGAGCCACTTACTGAAAAAGGTTGAGCATATTTGAAAACCAAAATTCATTTTCTGTGAATGGGATATCAGAATATATAGCAATAGTAGGCATTGCAACAGACTAAAGTCTGTTTTTAAAATGGATTAGATGATAAAAACGACATGTATATCATCACTAATCCAGTGGCCAATATTTGCAACACCCTATCAGATACAATAAATGTTGTATTTATTGTAGATATAATATTAATGTTATATAACAACATTAACATCTAACATATGTTAGATTCATAACATTGTATGTAATGTAATGAAACATGAAGTATAGCATGTCAGTTTTGAGGTATACTAGTCTGATATGTTTGACTTAAATTTTTATTGAGTCTTCAAATATAACTTTCTTGTTCAAGAAGTAAAGGACTTGTAGGAACAAGCACAACGACTTCATGAGGAAGCAACCACTCAGATAAAAACGTTTTACACTTCAAGTGGCCTGATTCTGCAGTGAACAAGAATCTTTTAATTTTTTTTAAATGCCATAATTAAAAAGTCAAAGGACATAACCAGATGGAATGTATGGTCCTGAATTGGACACTTATTTGGGAATACTGGTTGTAGAAAAATATAATTTGGTCAACAGAATATTTTATTGTAGTTAGGTATTATATGAGAGGTTCCTGTAATATTACTGATTTAAGAAAGCCAACTGTAAAAATACCTTTAGGTTGACAGAAAATGTGAATGTGATCTAGGAATTAGATGAGAAGAAATATGCTGAAATAAGGCAGATATTTTTAATTGAAGAAAGGAGATTACTAAAGTAATCTTATTTTGAAAAAGAAATACACACATAAGGATATACTTTAAAGTATTAACATTAGCGCTGGGAATGCCATGTTTTTTGTTTTTCATTAAAACATACAGGCAGGGTCTCACTATGTTGCTCAGGCTGGTCCCGAACTCCTGTGCTCAAGCCATCCTCCCACCTCAGCCCCCAAAGTGTTAAAACTACAGACATGAGCCATCACACCTAGCCTTTTTTATTAAAAAAAATTTTTTTAATGTAATGTTTTCTTTTTAATTTTAGCTTGTCTTCATTTTCCGTTTTTCTCCAAGGAATATTGTACTGATTGTATAGTACAAATTTATTTTAAAATGTATGTTAAATTTTACATAAATATTTGGGGTATATATGAATCAAGAAATACATGAAAGTATGGGCACCAAAACATTAAAAATTGTTTTGTTAGTTCAGGGGATTTTACTTTCTCCCTAATACTTTATTCTTTGAATATCTTGAAATGGGTTTTTTGTAACTGTATAAGGAGAAAGGAAGCAAAACTGTTTTCCTGCAGGGTACAGCCACATCTATTGTATTAGACAAATCACAGAGGGATTGCAACAGAACACAGCTTTTTCTTACTGTTTTTTCTCTGGTTGATTGGAATACATTATCCACCAGGAAACACTGTAGATGACTCATTCACCAGGAAAAGAGCATATGCCAGTTGGAATAAAGAAAGGGGAAGAGTAAAGAAGAGGCTGTAGAATTATAAATTATCAAGTCTTAAAAGCCAGGTGCAGTGTTGCATGCCTGTATACAGTCCCAGCTACTCAGGAGGCTGAGGCGGTAGGATAGCTTGAGCACAGGCGTTTGAGGGTGTAGTGTGATGTGGTCGTCTGTGAATAGCCACTGCACTCCAGTCAGGACAAGATAGAGTCTCTTTAAAAATAAGACTTTACCAATACCTTTAATAATTATTGTTTTTGTTCCCAACTACATTGTACATTCACTGAGGACATGAACTTTAAACTTCATTATATTGCTGTTGCTCTGTTTCACCTTTGAATGATTTTTAAATAAAAATCTCATCTTTGAGTTACAATCTGATGTAACCTTGTCCATTTCTGTCCTCTTGTGTGCCTTAAATGCCTTTAGGCAGCTGTGTTGTACCAGTGGTTTTAGGACTTAGTAGAATGAACTTTTGACTTTTAGACTAGATTCTGTTAACTCAAGCTAAATTACCTTGTAAGACGAGAAAATCGTACCATTCTCACAGGTTCGTGATAAAGCTGAAATGCGATAGCCACATAAAGACCCATCACAATCCCTGACACACCGTGAGCCCTCAATAAATGCCAAGTGAATTTTATTACACTGTGAAGTGCTCATTTTCAAACAGGACTTGCATATGAAAGGTGAGCAGGGGATTCCTTGCTCAAGCACCAGGACTCTGGGGTTGCACCCTTTGTTAGGCTCAACAGGTACTACCCAGTCCGCTTCCATCGTCCCCAGTCCGGGTCGCAGTCACACAATTGCCTGTCCAACCCTAGACAACACAGCCCAGGTCCTGGTCACAACAAGTGCGCTTCGCGCAGGCGCACAGTCCTGAGGCGGGCTGAAGGCCCAGGTGGGGCTCGGAGAAGAGGAAGCCCCGCCTCGCTTCCCCGTATTGGGCCAATAGAGTCGCTCGTCATGGTCGCGGACCTATGAGACGAGGCAGGAGGCTGGGCGGAGGGCGGAAGAAGTCGCTCTCACGTGAGTAAGGGGGTAGGGGGGCGGGGACAGGGCGGCTGGGGCGGCTGGGGAGGCCCAGGCGGCGGAGCCTCCGGGACGGCGAGCGGCGGGCGGCGGAGGAGGAGACGGCGGGTCGGGTAGGGCCGCGTTTTCCCTCCTCCTCCTCCCACCCTCCTACCTACCAACCCCAGGGGTATTTTCTGACAGCCCCTGCGGGTAGCCAAGCTGTCTTTTCCTGCAGGGCCGGGCCAGTGGTGCTGCGCTCAGCTCCCTCGACGGGCCGAGTTCTGAGGGGAGCCGTGATTGGGGGGAGGGGGAGCTGCGACGGAGGGGAGAGGGCGCATGCGCAGGCTGGGCTGCTGTGGGAGCCCCTGTCCAAACCGGTTCCCCCTGTCTGGGTGGGTGCCGGTCTTCCGAGTCTGGCGTATTTGGCTCTCCCTGTGGTCCGCCAGCAAAGCCAGTTTGTGTCTTGACTTTAATTTTAGGCTTGGTCGTTTTTGGGAATCCGGCCGCTCCCTCCGCCTCAGTTTCTCCCCATTGCCCACTAGGCCTGTATCTGTGACATGAGCTGGCTTGGGCCTCGCTGGCTTGGGCTGCGCCTAAATTTCAAAGACTTGATAGCCTTCACTGTCACTTTGCCATCTCAGGTTGGTCTTTCTGTCTCATTTCCCCGTCTGCAATTAAAGTGTCCTTGGCATCCCTGTCTTTCTCATTTCCTTGAAGCATCTGCCCAGTACCTCATTGCTGAGTCTTTTGATTATCCGCACCCTTAATTAAGGGTTTTACGTGTTGAGCCAAAGGATAACCTCCAGACTTCCAGGAGTTCGCTGTCCATTGCCTGGTAGTACTTTGGTCCCTACTCTTCTTACATCCAGACT